ATCTCTGCTGACCCTTTGCTTTCCGTAACATCGCGAGACCTTCCGAGCGCCAGGCCCTAAGCCTAAGTCTGGCCAAGTCAGCTTATGTCAAGCACGAAGCCATATTGCTATATCTATATATCCGTCCACACTTGCTCTTCTCCAGCTTCTCAGTTTGAATTCCTACCAGATGCGCAGCAAGGAAGGGCTGTGGTCTCCAAAGGCCCTCTATGCCAATTGGAGAAGAAGGGCCTGCGTTACACAGACCGCTGTTTGCTCCAGGAAATGCCTTGGTAACAGCCCTAACAGGAAGCAAAGTTCACAATGTTTGCTAGGCTACCAGTGAGACATAGTTATAGTATGGGAAGGCTTGAATCAAAGCTATCCTTTATGGTGGCCATTTGAAATCAGAGAGGCTTATTCCCCTCTGGAATAACAATCACATTGCCCAGACACTAAAATTAATTGCATTCGTTCTTAAAAGCATTGCAACGACCAGGAAAGATGCCAATACAGAATGACCCTTCTCAAGTTCAATAAACAGAAAATCTTCTCATTCCAAGACAGCGGAGCGCATCCATTGCTCTGCAGATGTAGTGCAGCAGAGTGTCACAGGTGGAACAGAGCAGATGACAAGCCATGGTGGCTCTGGATACTGGGGCTTATTTCTCAAATACACCACCTCGCTTGTATTTGGCTCAGCACCCAGTGAAATAGGATGGGAGTTTATTTTTACTGGCTTTATCTAGTGCTAACACATAGTTTTTACATTCTCTGTGCGTCAAGGACAAATGGGCGTAACATAATTTGAAGAACAGTGTCTTTCTGGATACTGGGGCTTATTTCTCAAATATTGTATTGTATTGTATTGTATTTGGCTCAGCACCCAGTGAAATAGGATGGGAGTTTATTTTTACTGGCTTTATCTAGTTCTAACACATAGTTTTTACATTGTCCTCTGTGCGTCAAGGACAAATGGGTGTAACATAATTTGAAGAACAGTGTCTTTTAAAAAGGACTGATGGGATCAAAAGCATGGAACACTAGGACATTTCCTCAGACGCTTTTTGATCACTGATCAGACTGACTGCAAATTTCACACGAAGTGAAGCCAAGACAACTACATGCTGAGATCTTTCAATGCTCAAAATACCCTGAAGACCAGCTCTGAAGTCCACCCAAATTGATACAAAGACCCTGTGTTTGTACAAAACACAGCAGTGTTGTACAAAACACTTGGCAGTTAAAATGAATATATCAAGCATGCAAGACCTTGAAGTTACTAGAGGGTTCCTTTAAGAAATGAAATAATATTTCTGGATCTGATGAACACAACTAAAACCCTCAGAACATTCAGCTTCATAAAAGGGCAGGAGCTACAAGGCCTTTCTAACAGGGGTGGGCAGAGAAAGGCAAGTGTGCCAGCCCTGCAGGCCTGTATGTCTGCTGGGCTGGGCCACGGGGCGCGCGACCGCCCCAGGACACGGAGACCTGGCTGTGCAAGGGACGACGGTAGCCGGGCTGTGACAACTCAGCACTGCAAACACCGCGTTTGCAGCGAAAGCTGCCACTGCTTTTTGCCGAGCAGCTCTCACTAGCCCTCCACTTTTAATCAGTACTAACACTGAACCAGATGAAAAGAGGGAATGCTTGGGAAAAACTCAATATTCCAAGGGATCACACAATATAAATTTAATCCTGAGCCAATCAGCAGAAGCTTTATATACAAAACTAGATATTTTCACGTCTGGGACACCTCCTTTAACCTAAATTGGCCTACAGAGTAAAAAAAAACCTTACCCCCTTCCTTTTACCCAGTACTTAGGTTCCACCCAGCGGCTTTGGACAGTAACTACAGCAGCCTGAAGACGAGACAGGTGTATTATGGCCCTGGAGTGAACACAAGTCCTCTCCGTTCAGTGAAACCCAAAGCAGAGCGTGCGGTATGCGATGCGGGCCTGTATTGCAGGTCACGTCCTAACCAACCTCACTTGGTGGTTCATTTGTGAGAACACTAACCCACAGCTTTTCCATAGAGTCAGGTTTCACAAAAGCTGATCAAATTTACAACACTAACTCGATGAGAACTCTAAACTTTTTTTTCGGCATCGCGTGTCCCCTCCAGAGCGGGGTCACACATCGGGCGCTGGGGCGGGGGGCCGCCCCCCGGGGGGCCCTCCGGGTTTTTTTTTTTTTTTTAAATCTCTTTTATCTCCACCCTCCGCGACCGGGCTACATTTTTCTCCCCACCTCCCCCGGACCGCCTCGCGGACCGTTGGCGGCCGTTGGGACGGAGGTGGGGCCGCGGGCTGCGCCTCCCCGCGTCCCCCTCTCCCCCGTCCCGGCCCCGCTGCCTCAGGGGGCTGCAGCCTGCCCACTGCCCTAGAAAAGCTCCAAGGTTTTGCCAGGGCCGAGCTAGCACCAAGCCGCGAGGGGAAGATGGCCACCTCCGAGCCCGTTTCCATTCACCTTCACTGTTCTACAAACAGCAGCACGTTGTTATGCTCTTCCCGCGCGTTGTGTTTTCCACAACAGTTCTGTGTCCTCCAGCGGCAGCGGCTGCATGCGCAGAGCAGGGGTAACTGTAACAGGCTGGGAGGCAGCTTGGCTGACCCGAGGAAGGCTGAGACCACGTTTCTTCTCGTGGCAGCTCCCCTTTTCCCTGTGTTTGGGTTTCAGCACCTGCTGAGGTCTCCGTTCCACCTTGCTCTGACCACGCTGTGGATCGCCCCTGGAAGAGATGAAGCTGAGGCTGAGCCGGGGGGTTGCTCTGCACTGTCTGCCTTCCCCGAGGGCTGTCTTCCTTACCAAAGTCCTGCAGCTGGATGTCGGTTACACCGCGCGGAGCAGTTGCTGTGCCCCTCACAGCAGCAGCTCCCCTGCTGAATGGGCAAGTCCAGAAGATGGCAGTAGGAGAAAAAACAACTGCATTGAAAGCAGTCCCGTTTTAAGTTTAACTTGCAAAATGATGCAATTTGTTTTGGCTCCATCTTAGCCTAAGGGTATGAGTTTGCAGGCCCAGGCAAAGCAAGATTGTGGCTCTGCAAGTCAAATAAATAGATTTCTCTGGAAAAGAACATTTGAGGTTTAGGATTCCCCTGCTTACACCAAAAATAACACGAGCCCTTTTGCGGCAGTGATCCTCACTTGCTTAGCTCTGCAAGGATCCCTATGCAGATTAACTGCACAGTGTGCTCTGTGTGCGAGGGAACACAGCTATGGCCAGGATCCCTCAAGCTCAAGGAGCAGCAGGAAGAGCTGCACGGTGGCTGCTCGTAGACACAAGAGCTCCTGACAGCTGTGCGCAGAGAGGAGCTGAGCTGCTGAATGCAGAGCTTCAGCTCTCCTGCCTTAAAAGGATCCTTTAAAGTTCTGACAAGCAAAAAAAGCTTGCAGACAGTTTTGGGGCAAGATTCCCTTCTCCCCTTTAGGGCGATGTCCTTGTCCCTCACTGATGCTACCTGCAGCTTCAGGTTGCAGCTTTTCCGCACACAGTACTGAGGGGGTAAGGGGCCTGTGTGGAGCATGGCTGCGGCCTTACCCATCGCACACACAGCCCTAGTGGCCTTGGTCAAACAGTTATGGATGCTGGAGCCTTTTCAGCTGCTGGAACAGGCCATACAGTGAAGTCACTATAGCTCTGCTCCCCTCAGTACCTTGGGGAGAAAACAAATGGACAAAAAAAACCCACAAACATTTCCTGCAGCTTATATAATACGAGAGGTGCGAGAGACACAGGAACTTTGTAGTATCATGAGATAGAGGAATCCAACGCAAAACATCTGTCAGTCAGAAGCCATCAGATAGTTCAATTCAATTGGCCAGCTATAGCTGGCCTTGTTGGGGTGGTTTGTAGTTTTGTGTGTTTTCTTTGAGGGGAGGGGACGGTAATAAAAAATTGGAGGGTAGTTCTAGCCTATATTGCATTCTATGAGATCTGCAGGTGATCCATAACTTGAAGAAACTACCATTTAACCAAAACAACCTCCACACTTCAATGTGCAAGAGCGCAAAACAACACTGAAGGAAAGGCAAGATCATTGACATATTTATTTCATGTTCCTTTTTCAAAGATGCAAACCTACTAGCAGGCCTGCTAAACTGCTCTGAAAGCTGCAGGTACTTGTATTTGTTAGTATAGATATACAAAGCCGAACACTAAGAGCAAACACTTATCAGAGACTCTTGTAACTATTTATGACAGAACAGGACTTCACAACAAGTGAACTATCTGCAAAGAAAGTTAATATGAGAATATTGGTGCTGTTAAGGTTTAATAGAACATATAGACTGGCATTAATGGAGAAGCATCTGGTCTCAATACTGAATTTATCCCAAGAAACTTCATTGGCATAACAAACCTACTGATACTGGTGTTTTTTAATTTGATCTCTAGTGAAAGTATTCTTTCTACCTACCAAATCAGTCACCATCTTCTAAATGACTTGCTTTTGGGGTATCTCGCTCAGCTTCAAAAGCCATTTCTTAATCTATTCTTTTCTCCACCAGTTTCTCCTTACTTACTGCTCCTTTCTGTGGGGAAGCTTCTTGGTTCTGGTTATGCGGGGGTTCTTTTTTGTTGAGGATGGTGCTGGTGTAGGTTTGGAAACCTTTGTAACCTTCACCTTCTGCTTTGGCCTGTGCTTAGCCTTGGCTTTGATTTTTTGGGTCTTTTTACCAGCTGAAGTTGGCTTCAACGTGGATGCTTTCATTTTGCTGGGTGGGGTGGTCTTAGCTTTCTTAGAAGAACTTGTTCGGGTGACTCCAGCAGAAGAGGATTTTCCAGGAGGCTGGGTGGTTGGAGGTTCATTAAGCAGCTCAAGGATGGTCTCTGAGGAAAGTAATCATGTATTTTATCATCCCTGCTCCAAGATGAAAGGCTGATTCAGAAACATGGCTGATATCAAACCTTACTGGAGCAGCCACAGCTAAGAAAAATATCTCACATTCTAAGAAAAGAAATACAGACTGCATAAACCTACCTACCTCCTTCTTTCTATTATAGGAGCCTTGGATTTCTTAGAAATAAAGTGTGTTTAGTTTTAGAAGAGAAATTAATATGTATTTAGCAATGATTAAAATGTATTTGGGAAAATAAGTCCAGAAATAATAAGATGAAAGCATGCACATTTCTCTTTGGCGGACTTAACATGATGAATTATTCATATTACACGAATATCTGGAAATCCCAGAAAGCATAACCTCGCCTCGCTAGACATTGCTTCTACTCAGTAGTAAGAGGCATTCCCTGCTCTACTTGCCTAGGTCCTAGACAGGAGAGAAAAAAAAAACACAAAAAAAAGGCCAGCTGAAAGGAAAATTAACTGTTGGTTTTATGGAAAGGCTCTGTGACATTATTTGACTCACGGAAGTTGCAGCAGAGCTGGGACAGGCACTGAGAACTTCCCATTCCAAACCCAATGCCTACATCAAAGCCACCCATTCCCTAACTCAGTGTTACTTGACAAGATTTAAAGCGATGGGGATTAAAAAGCCATTGTACCTATTAGCAAGAGAAGCATTCATTAGGTGAAATTATCTGCTCTCAAGATTGCTTCTGCTCCGTGCTTTCAACATCACTAACCCTCTTCACCACCTGCCTTTAGGACTGGTAACAGTTTTGCTCTGCACTGACAGTAACTTACTTGCCCGTGGAGCGAAGGGAATACGCTTACTCTTCGTTTTCACTGGAATAGGCTTCAATTTACACTTCCCTGGTGGAGCTCTCCTTGAAAAAACATAAAGACATGCAGATGAATGAGCAATAGCATTTTATTTGTCCCAGAGGCACATATCAGTCCTCCCTTGCTGTTTGCCTCTGCTAGAAAAAGCATGAAAGCAAGTAGGCACCTAGAGCACAGTTCTGATGGAATCTGAGCCTACTGCAGTACCTGAGCCTTAACGCTAATCCCTGCCTGATCACTAACAGCACCTGGAATCCTAAAGCTTCTCTTTTACCATCATTCTGGCCAGCCATTCTGGGTCGGGAAAGGAGGCACGGGAAGTGATGGCTGCAGAGAAGCTGCATCCAGCTCCTCTCCTGCTCTATTCCTGGTAGCTTGCTCCAACACTAAAGCCCCGTGGGCACTTTCCCTGAGGCAAAGCTGTCAGGTGGCAGGTCACAGGAGGAGGGGACACCAAGAGGAGGAACGGGGAGCCCCCAGGGAAGGGCTCCAGGACACACATGAGCAGGCTCTTCCAGTTTGCTGCGCTTAAGAGCGCGGAGCATGACCTGAGGCAGCACATTTTCTCACAGCTAGCTAACTAGCACCCTCCTTCAGACATGGAGAACAGCCAGACTTTTGCTCCACATCATTTCAATTTAAATAAATAAAAAGGACAGACTACTAACTAAAACAGGATTGTAAAACTTTTTTATATATTATTATTTTGATGCACAACCTAACATCTCTTCCCCTCCCCTCCTGACTGAGGGGATTTGGTACCAGTGCCCGCTCTGCTGGCTCTCAGAGCACTGCTAAAGAGACGAACCTGAAGTGGGGACACTTTGGATCTGCTGCTTTCTGTTTTCCTGTGAGGTCCATAGGGAAATGACAGGCTTGTCCCCAGGGAGGTGGCATCCCTGTTCCCGCAGGCACTTGCAGGGCTTCACCCGGGGCAGTGTGTGTGGAAGCGCGGCAGGGAGCAGGGGGTGCACGGGCTGCCCGGGGGAGGGCTGCGCCGGGCACGAGGCGTCGCAGAGCGAGCAGGCGGCCAAGCCACCGCGCGCACGGGAAAGGAAACACAAGTGAACAGCATGAAAACGGCACAGAAAAATGGAGAGTCTCTACATATGATGACAGCAGGAGGCCAGAGAACAAACGAGGATCTGGAGCTGTCAGGAATTGATTTGCTCCAGGGCCAAGCAGCCTCAGCTTCTGCAGGAACTGCCAGTGCTTTGTACAGCCCAGGCAAGCTTGCTAAGTGCTTAGCCAAACAGACAAGGGCAGAGATGAACACAGCATCAGGGGCTAAAGTAACAAGGGCAGCCAGAAAATACAAGAATAAATCCCCAAGAGCCAAGGGATTAAGTGCCTGAACTTGCTCTAGAAGTGATAAATAGGAAAGCTGCAAAAGCACGTGGAGGAACTGGCTTGTTTCCAGAAAGCCTTTCAGAGCAGCAAACCCACCTTGCTCCTGGCAGCAGGGCCTTGCTGCCCCCGTGCAGAGGAACACTGTGCCTCACTGCGCGGCCCCTCCAACCTTTCCGAGGGGGGCAGCCCTCAGAAAAGGTTTTTAGGGCTGTTTGCAAAACCAAAGGCTGCATTCCTCCCTTCACAGGTTGATCATGCTGATGGTCTTGATGCAGCGTTAGGCAGTCACACAGGGGCTGCAGGGATTTTATTGATAAAGCACAGGATGCTAAAGCTCTCAATGTTTAGGCTAGCTCACTCTTTCTTTATTTTTGTTAAGGTGAAAAATCATGTACCATATGTCTCATACTCATATACCATCAGCCTTTTACTCTGTTTTGTTGTTTCACAGGTTATCAGTCCATTTGCAAGGATACAGTTCACACCCCTGACCTGTATTTTATGATGGAAAGTGATGCATGACAGGCAGTATGGAGTGAAACAGAATAGAGAGAAGACTCTCTGCTGTTGCAAAAATTACTTTGAATTAATAAGGTCCTTCGTTCAAGTGCAAATAAAATGCTTACATGCCCTGAAGAATATGCATTGTCTTTCTTAAAAAAACCACTGCTATATTTTAGACATGCACACAACCAGACGTTATTCCAATCCTAAATATCCCAGATCTTCAAGAGGTCTGAATATGATCTACTTCTGGGTGCACAGATACAAGGAGCATGGAATAACTTTACTGCAGCTGATAAAGTTGAAGCAGATGCTCAGCGGGCTAACAGACTGAAGTCTGGATGTGTAGGTTGCTAAGACTGTGTTATCGGGAGCACTTAGTACTCTGTCTAGCATGATAGCTGCAGAACACAGTGATTATAGAAGAATTTGGCACAGAGGAGAAAAAAAAAGGTGAAAAAAAACACACACACACACACAGAGCCTTTAATTACTAACCTTGCAGGATCAACAAACTTGTAGAGAGATCCATGTGGCGCATAGGCACTGGGATAGGAAGTAGACATAAAATACAGCTCACCTAAAGAGAGGTGGGAAAAAATAAAGTAAGAAAACCTTTAGATGCAAATGCCCAAGGTGAAAACCTGTTCCCTATGTCCCTATTTCCCTGGCTTTTCCACTAATTCAGCTGGAAGAAAGGCACATGCCCTCAGTGAGCCCCTTGGAGAGTGACTTACGTGCAACGAGGGGGCCCGGTCTGCCGCTGCCCCTGCGGGCAGAGAGCTGGGGAGAGCGGGGCTGCTCCTGCCCGGCAGGGCACGTGCCCCCTGCCGCAGCAGCGCAGCGCACGGCCAGAGCCTCAACGGCCCTCTAAAAGCTGACTTTCCTCTACATAAACATGTGCTTTTAAAAGCTTGTTTGTACTAAAGGAGCAGCCAGAAGCTACAAATAGAGAGAGGAAAGAAGAAAAAAAATCACAACAAATATTTAGTCATCTCATGATCATAGCAAAAAATAATAATAATAAATTTTCCAACAGGAGTTATATTGGCTTTCCATGCAAGACAGGAGCCTCTTGTTACTACATGGGGATTGAGGAAAGCAACTACACCTTGTGTTTTCCCTTCAGCAGCCACTAGAGCAGTATGCAGACCAGCTACTGTAGCTTGGAGAGAAAACAAATACAAAAACACCCCAAGCCCACTATTGCTTGCATTTCAAGTTGCATTACAGCCTCACACTAGCTTATAAAAGAACATCCAGTAGAAAATATATTTACTATCCACATGGTGAAAATATTTGTACATATTTCATAATAAACCCACATTTCCTCTGTCACCCTCTCTATCTGTGACAGAATAAGCAGGCAAGTTCAGACATGATCTTCCCATTAAAAAAGTGTTTTCTGCTGAATCATGAAATATGAGAATTTACTAAAGCACATCTGGATTCACTCAAAAAGTCTGCAAATACATTGCATCACATAGGTCTTTGTCAGGTAAGTTGTACGGAGATGAACAATCTATGCATTTGATGAAAGTTCTAGTCCTCATGAGCATTCACCCATTTGAACTAAATTTTGAAACTGGAGGCTTTCTTTGTCTCCAAATGAAGCTTTGGTCTATAATCTATGCAGTGAAGTGTGTTATGAAGTCTGAGGAATACATACTAAGAAAGAGGAAGAGATTCATACAAACTATAAAAACTGAAGTAAGAATAAGCTGTTAAGTGGAAGAAAAAAAAAAAACAGTATCGACTTGGCCTTTTTATTAATAGAGTGGCATAAATAGCGCCCAAGGAGAGGTAAGCCTGAAACAAACACGAGTTGAGTGTTCAGACTCTGTTCTCATGCGGATTTATCTCCTGAGCTCCATCAGGCCTGCAAGAGCCTCACAGGGCAGGAGACATCTCGGAACCACACAGCAACCCTACGGGCCATGCAGAGATAGCTGCAAGCACTCCAAGAGTGCAATTTCCAGTGAATATTTAGCTATTGAGATACCTTACCTGCTTCATCCTCAGCAAAGGAGATGATAAATTTGCTATAAGAACTGATCATTCCAGGGAAAGCACAAGCTTTGGTGTTACCAATGCAGATATCTTGCTTCTTCCATTTATTTGTCTTCTCATCTTCCTGTAAAGCCATAAGTCGACTAGATGAAAAATAAAACCTTGTGTTTTATTTTTCCGTTATTAAAGTTAGAACCTTCCAAAATTATGCATTAGTGACACAAAATAAAGACTATGAATCCCAGCTTAGCTTTAATTTTTTTCCTTAGGAAAAAAAAAAAAAAAAAGAAACACACTCACAGCGCTATCCTAAGGACCCCAACTTGGAAAAGTGAGGAAGTTCAGATCCCAATCAGAATGTTTGGCCAGTATTGACCAAACAGATCCCTTAATCCAATCATTCGCTCCAGGTCAGAGGTTTCAGGATACTCTGATGCGCTTACTCTGCTCAGGCAAGGCGAATACATGGACAATGTGGGAGCTGGGGAGGAAAGAATTTTCTCACCCATTCATGAAGTCACCAAAAATATAGAGGCCGTTCAGGTTGGGCGATTCACATCCTCTGTACACGTAACCGCCAGTGACCGACTTCCCCACGTTGCGACCGTATGCAAATATTGGAAGAATGTCATCTGTTAAATACAGGTGTGTGAAAAGCAGAAAAATTACATTTAGGGAGCATCGAAAATCAATTGGTCAGTAACACTGATAGGTGCAAAAAAGACTGGTATAATTGAATAAACAGCATAGCTAAATTTCTGTAGGGATTCAATTATTTACTCCACTACAGAATTGATGCAAGGGCTTCAAAGAGCTTTCTGTGTAGTTCATCAGTTTGCTCAGTGAACTTGCTCATGCTCATCCCTATGCATAGGAGAAAGATTCTTTGCATCCAGTAAGCAATATAACACAGTGTATTGCTGGAAGGTGTCACAGCACCAGTCACTTGAACAGGTTGACTTTTCCAATGCCAGAATTTCTACAGAAGAGGATGTAGAGGATGCGATCAAACAATTGCAAGTCTACTCTAAATCTTTATGCATGTGCTGTCAGTCTCATGAGATTTATAAAGAGTAAAGGTATTGCCTCTGACAGTATTAAAATTGAGTTCATCCCTTACTAAATCCTACTAAATTTTAGTCTTGTCCTCATTTTTTTTTCCTCCAGAATAAATAGCTTGTCTTTAATGCTGAGGATAAATACAATTCATTAAAAACTGTGGCTTACCAGCAAAATCTAAAGCAGGTGTGTTATCAGCTGAGGCTTAGATCAATTGTTAGGATCATTTTAAGATTTTTTTTTTAAAGAGCCATGTGGATACCAGCTCCAAAGAGGAGAAACATTGATAACACTCCACAGTTACATTTGTCTGATCATACAAATATTCCAGAAACATCTACATGAGCCTGAGACCAAGCGTTTGCTTCACATGGCTTAAGGGGCTTTATAATAACATCCAGTTCTTCTGCAGTGCTTTGCCAAGATCTTTACACGAAGACCATCGTTTTCAGAGAGAGCAACACAAAGGCAGAAAGCGAGTTTGCCCCAGTCAGACGCAGAGTGTAGCTCTGGCGTGCGCTGCCTCCACCACAGGACTTGTTTCAGGAACTCAGCTCCAGCCTGTTCCCTAAACCCTGGTCTTGCCTTAGCCGTAGACATGGCTTAGGGCTTCTGAAGAAAACAAAATATTACTTGTTGTACTTAATCTGTTGTCTTCCTGACTTTGGAAAAACTGACTGCAAAAGGCACAGGTTTGGACCTTAAACTTATGTGGTGCTTTGCATGCCAGGAAATTCCCTGAAGACACTGGACATCATTACACGTCAATGCTCCAAGACTCAAGAGAGAGGACTTCTCTTCTTAACAAGTGAGTAAACTCCATTTCAACACACAACACTAGATTATTTAGCTTCAGTGAAAAAAAAAAAGCACTATAATTAATTAAACACATGTAATACGATTAATGGTCTTTAAGCATTAAAAGACCAAGAAAGCGCAAGAAAGTTCTCCTTACCCAGAGAGGAATTATGGCAAAGCTTTGTGTCGTAGCATTGAAACCCCTCCTTTGCTCTCCAGCCGTAGTTTCCCCCCTTCACGATGATGTCTATTTCTTCAAACCTGTTCTGACCGACATCCCCACAGAAGAGTCTTCCTCTTCCCTTTCTTGTGACAGGGTCCCCTCTGTCAACTGCGCAGCGCCACATATTCCTGACCCCATAGGCATAAACCTCAGGGCGGGCCTTGGCATCAGACACGAAGGGATTATCCGGGGGGATGCGATACGGCTTCCCAGTGGTGCTTTTTCCATCCACATCAATTCTCAAGACTTTCCCCAGCAAGGCACTCCTAGAGAGAAAGGCAGATAAAGTCAGGTTTGTAAACTCCAGCATGAGAACCAAGTATAAACAATTCTCTTCTCCTCCCCACTTTCCAGAAGGGAAATTCTCTGTCCTGCAGAAATAAGCCAAATGGATGGTATGTCCTGCAATCCATTCAGATCACAAAAGATTCATCTGCCTATCAGAGAATTGGGAGCCCTCAGCTTTCCAAATGTAATAGTTAGTTGATTTTTGAGATACTGCAGACTGATCTGCAGATGCCCCAAGTGCTTTAGGAAGCTCTTTTAGTTTCCTCTTCCATGTTGTCATACCTCCAAGCCTTGCTGCAGCAGCTCAAAGCTTCTTCCTGCCTTCCTACTTACTTGTTCTGAGCATTTCCAAATTTTCCAAAAGGGTCGCCAGCTTTCCCTCCATCCCCTGTGAATATGTACATATAGCCATCCACACCAAAGAGTAGCTGGCCACCATTATGGTTAGCAGCTGGTTCTTCAAGCTCCAGGAGATTCCTACAAAGAAAAGGGAAATAACTCCAGATGCAGGTACTGCACTTCTGGTGAGTTTGCAGCATCACAGGCTCTATAGAAGGAAGAGAAATTTCCCAGCCCTGCAGACTTTCCAGCTTTATCAAATACAGTGCAAAGGCCGAGCTGCATCCTGTTTCTGACAGCAAGAGCCTGCAGCACAAGGCTGGCGTAAGGAAACCTGCTTCCCACAAGCCAGACCTCCAGTGCCTCCAGCACTGCCATGCGACAGCCTCTGCCATGCGACAGCCCATGAACTAGGGCTTTAACGTGCCCTATGAGGGCCTTTCTGCTACAGAACTTGCCCACCACTGTAGGCCTAACAGTATCAAAACTGCTAAAAACAAAACCAAAAATGTGTAAGATTTTGCCTTAAAAACAGTTTGACCTTAAAACAAAGCTGCTCATGACAGGTGGGTTCTGTTTTTCTGTATGAGAAGTAATGGATGAATTTGAGGGGTTTAGAAGGGTTGGGGGGGTCTGTGGTAATTGTACAACTCAAAACAAGTTTTTATTGTTAATAAGTTCTTCTTCGTGACTGATAATTACCCTTCTTTTGCGGGGGGGGGGGGGGGGGGGGGGGGTGAGAAGACAGAGTGGGGAAGAGAGAGGGGAAATGAAAGGGAGAGGCATACCAGATCACTTAAAGAAACATATAGTTCCTTAAATGAAGTACTCCTGTAGTGAGTGCTAAAGCCAGTGGGGTTTTTTTGTTTTTTTTCAGTTTGTTATCTTACAATATATAGTAACATCAAGGCAAATGTAAATTCTAGGTAAGACTTAAAGCTGTAATATACTACTTTTTTTTTTAAAAAAAAAAAGGCAGGAGTACAAGATGGTCGTGGAAGGAAATCTGCAAGTCTAGATCCTTGGTTCTGATTTTAGTTGTTTTTCCATCAAGTTTGCCCTGTGATCTTGGGCCAACCTGCCACCGTTAGCTTCATAAGAGGTCTGGTCACATGCCTAAGGCAGAGGGATTGGGAACCTGCAGGTTTTGCAAGGAAGGAGGAGGACAAGGACAGAAAGTAATTTCTCAGCACGGTATACAGCAGTGTCCCATGTGAGCTATTACCTTTCTGAGTGTGGGTCAGCTTTGTTGATATCAGATGCCGAAACTTTCAGTTCACTGATTCTGATCTTTTCCACTCGCTTCTTATCCATGTAAGAGTAATAGATGTAAAACTTCCCATTCTCCTTGTACTTGGGGTGGAAAGCCAGCCCCAGAAAGCCCCTCTCATCCCCTACCCACGGCGTAGCCAACACTATAGTTTTAATGTCCAGAAAGGGCTCCTCCAGCCGACTGCCGTCAGGTAGGTAGACCCAGATCACCCCCACTTGCTCCGCTACGAACATGCGGTGGGTATGGTCGTTCGCATGGGCCATCAGGACCGGGTTCCTCAGCCCGTTGGCCACTTCCGTGAGGCACAGCTGGAGGCAGCCCTTGCGGTCCTCCACCACCGAGCCCAGGTTGCGGTTGAGGTCCGTGTTCTTCAGCACATTGGGGAAGCAATAGTCCTTATCGTGGAGGTTAAGGAGGTTACAGAAGCGCGTCTTGTTCGTCTCGCAGCACTCCTGGATGTGTTTGTCACCGGTCAACAGGCTGATAGCAGAGTAGCAGTTGAAGTGGAACTCAGAGCAGTAGTCAAAGCAAAGTCCTGGGAGGTTTCGAAGAGGCGTCTGAGGGTTTTCTGCATCATAGAGATGTGCAGCATATGGAGAACATTCCTAGGAAGTAAGGGAAACTAAACAGTGCACACACATACAGGAGAAGCAGGGATACCTTCACAGAAGTAATCAATTAATAAAATGAAAAATAAGTCACCTAGCCCTATAGGAATTCACTAAGAAAGGTGCAAAAGAGTGGATAGCACCTAACCTGCATTGCATATTGAGTCCTGGAAAGCTGACTCAGACCCACTGATGCATCCCTGCAGCTAGTTCAATGTTTTCCATTACATCTGCTCACTCCACAGAGTTCACTTGAAGTTTAAAGCTCTTCTCCTTTCTGTTTTGCAGTGATTACTTCATTAAGTTCTCTGAAAACTTTTTAATTTGCCTCAGCAGGGGCTAGAACAGAACCAAGCTCCCAGCACAGGATACAAGAGCTACCACCACCAATAAAACAGCTTCCTCTGAGACAGGGTGTTTTCTCAGCATCTCTGAGCTCAGTCATCTCCCTTCTGCCAAGTCTGCAGTGTGAGGGTCTCCTACAGCTCACAATCTCTAAGAAAATGCAGTCCCTGAACAGTTGCTATGTTTTTCCAGCCATTCAGCTTCCCACACATCTTTTGCCTGGCAAAGAACGCCTACAGCACATTCTGGCAAGAGGCACAAGGTTGAGGCATTCCTCAGGATGGACGTAAACTCCCAGGATTAAGTGGCCTTGCAGTAAATGTTGGTTGTCTGCATCCATTTCACTCCAGTGTGCATGAAGCAACACAGCTAATACAACCGTTTAATAGAGCAGAAGTAGTTAAGATCAGCTTGATACTTCCTGTGCCACTTCGGAGTTTCTCTGCAAGAATATCCAGCTTCTTCCTAGTCAGTGCACGTAAGTGTGTGCAGAACCTCATAACGCTACGTGCCGAAGCTGGCACTGCCCCGATCGAGGGGACAGAACGGCCGGCTGACCTGTATGAGCAGTGCACAACCTTTGGCTGGTCCAAACCAGGGTGCAGTAGACTAACACTACACATTCAAGCAATCACATGTCAGGCCTGATTAAAACTGGCTTTAAAAAATTAAAAATGTTGTTCTGTCTGCAGTAGGCTTCTATCACATGCTTTTGATCAGCTTAAGCAAGGTTGTTTTCTGCGCAGAGGGACATTTTCTCAGCCAGTGGCCACACAGCGGTTCTAGCGTGTGTAGCAAGGGCCATGAATCCAGGGAGTTTTTGTTCTGCAGCTCCATAACTTGTACATCATCTCCTCAAGAACGTTACAGGCAGTTTTCGGAGCTTCGTGTTCAATTTTCAGACTAAATCCTAGGAGAGCTCAGCTCAGGGCTAGCTTCTAAACCTGCAAATGTTTACAAGTGCAAGAGGTAAATACAGCCCCCGATTTTGTCAGGTATAAGCTGAAGCAGCTCCACCAGCAGAGCCGGATTGCTTTATAAACAATCTGGATGCCTCTTCAGGTTAGTTTTTAATAGAAACAGATGATTTGGAGTGTCAGCGGGAAACGCATGATCCAGTGACCTACCCGACGTCCTGGCGTAGACGGCAGCAATGAGCACTTGGCAGAATCACATCCAGATAACGGACGTGCGTGTGTCTTCTGGCATTCGATGGGGCACTAAACACATGCTGACGTGTCACAGGTAGTGGCTACTAATTATTATTAGGACACTGGAAGCAGGGTAGACTCTCATCATTTTTGACTCTCTCCAAGTGAGATCACCAGCAAAGTGACATCACTAAAACGAGACCATTTGGTAGATTTTGCTCCTCTGCTAGTTTGACAGCCAAATAACATTTGCCAATAAATAAATAATAAGAAAACAAATAAACAACAAAAAAAAAAACCCTCAGAAACAAAGAAGCACTCATGTCCAACCTTACTCCCATGAGTGTCACTGGCTTAAACAAAAGATGAAACAGCAATGCAATTAGAAGCTCCTTACCAGCAAAAACTTTACAGCAATCTTACTCTAGAAAGATGAGAAAGTCTTAATTCATTACCTAGATAATAAATATCCCAATGTTTTTATATGCTGCACAATATATTTCTAACAAATGCAAAAATGAAGCTATATCCTGCAGAATAAGTAATCCAAGTCTATAAGAAGCAAATGTCACATTTTTGTTGAGTTTCTAATCTACCTGCAACACGCAAAAAAAATTCTAAACATGAATGTTGGTGGTTCTACTAGGAGTTATAATGTACCTTTTGTGTTATGAACAGTAAAACAACAAAGAGAACCCTGAGCATATTCCTTTGCATCCCTGATACCAAAAATTATTTTTCTTCAAGAAGATGCCAAAATCCTGACAGTATCCAACATATTTGATAAACAAATAAAGCTTTAGGGAAAGGAAATTTTAGTTAGAAGAGTTTTTTTTTTTTTCCTGTTTTGTTCTTGAGAACAAGTGTGTCTTGGCTGCTTTGTGTTCTGGCAGGCATTCAGCCCTGCTCGCACAACTAACACACTTTAGAGGCAGGCAGTTCTGCTCTTTTTCTAAGGAGAGGGGCACAGAAGAGCTGCGCCCTGGGGCTCCGTCCCTGCACGGTCCCTGCTGCTGCCGCGTTACCATCGCACCTGGGGGAGCGCAGCAGCTGAAGCCTCTGGGCAGGCAGCTGCACACACCTGCTATTAGATGTTGTTGTATTTTAGTAACTGCAAGATTTGGAGCATCCTAGGCAGGAACGCAATCTTTACACATCTGTCACTAAACACAGGAATCCAAATACAAGAATTATCTGGCGCAGCATCATTTGAAATTCTTGTATCGTTTGATCTTGTAGATTTTGTCAAGCACCACCTACTAGCTGCAGACACAACAGAACAACATTGACCTGTGACTGTTAACAAGAAAATAAACACAGCAGCAGGATTCACATCATCATGAGATGAGCAATGCCTGATAAGCCATTATTGCTACCAAACGCCCCTGCATATTGCTGGGGACCACCAAGCAAGGTGCCTCACACAGAGCACCTCACAAAGTGCCCGCTTCCTGCAGTCATCACTCTGCCATTACAGTCCCCTTGCCCCTGCTTTCATGTCTCTTTCCAGAGTGACACAGCTATAAAGATGACTGGAGCCACAAACCACCCCAGTCAGCCCAAAGTGTAGGATTCAGATGCTTTGTCTTACCTGGCATAGGATGTCTTTGATATACCTTCCGCACAGCTTATGCCCCTGGGGATCAATATAATCCATGATCTCCCAGTATTTTGCAGCAATACTGTTGTCTTTCTCCTGATCACAGCAGCCAAAGTTTTCATAGGCAGTGCAAAACTCCAAGTGAAAAGGGGGCTGGAAAGGTGGCCCATAATCCAGGCACTGAGGATGCCCCAGCAGATTGCCTGTCTGGCATAACAAGGACAGGCAAAGAAAGACATGCGGGCAAGAAAAGGAAACTCCAGAGCTGCTGCGGCTCCTAGCTGCGCATGGCCAAGCATTCGCTTTCTGCCCTGCGTGTTTCTTGAGGTCAGATGTATAGAAATCCTCGACCTCTTCACGGTATGGTTCATTCATCCTCTGTGCTTTCTTCTTTGCCAGCTGCAGAGCTCACTGTTTGCTCAGGTTTGCTTACATTCTCTCCCCCTCTTTCCAAGTGTACTATTTGGCTGGAGAGAAACCCTCCAGACTGCCTCTGTGGTGTCTCACACGTCACTTGGCTGAGCCCTCCCCTCCGGACATTTCTCATGTCCCTAAGAGCATTCACGGATCTAATCCTACAGCCTAGTTTAAACAGGCTCAGAAATCATTCATGAAGAAATATGGACACGAAATAACGCAATGTATTATAACTACATACAGAATTGGATTCTCTCCACTTACAAAAACAGGATGAATCCTTCTCAGTTTTTAAGTACTCTTTTACTCTGCTTCTGAAAACAGACCAGGCTTGGGACTGGTTATCCTGTGGCTGAGGGTCAAAAGAGAAAAGTGGAGGAAAAAACCTGAAATTCTCTTATTTGGAAACTCCCCTTCCAATTATTTGAAACTCCCCTCCTTGCCCCCCACATCATCACTTACTCCCAACCATCTAGTTGTATGTAGCTCATGAGGAAACTGAAGTTCCCAATTCTAGATTCTCAGTAAAAGCCCCAGTGCAAAGTCACAGCTGGAAATGCTCTGTAACTACCAGTCTCTTCATCTTTATTAGGAAATGACTGCTCTGTTGAAGAAAAAAAAAGAAAAAGATACCACTGGATTTTTAACCATCACCCACTTTTCTGCTGTGGTTCTAAGTTGTGGCACCTTGACAGTGCAACAGTCTATTGACAATATGTCTCTACCTAAACTACAATGATTCGGAAATATGCCAGATGCAGATTCAGAGCCTACAGCCCTTGAAGCTTCCTTTGCTTTTCATTCCTTTAGCTTTAAGGATCAACTTGGGATACCTATTCATCAGATCAACTACTTCTCTTAAGAAAACTTAAATCCTCTCTCCCTTTCCTGGAGACATGCTGCTTTGAGACAAGAACTCAGAGTATTTACATTCATGAAGAACTTCTGATCCTTCAAACCAGGAGGAAGGAATATTCTTTGTCACTCACTCTAAAGAGGGTAGCAAAGCTCTAAGAGCTTCAGTTGAACACAACCTCCCACAGGGCCTATTAACATTACCTGAAAACTCTTCACTGAGCAGTCCTGAGTTTGGCCAACAAAGCACCTCCAGCAATTCCTTAAATGCAACAGGACAAGTGGGACTTGCCATTTATCAGAGCAGAACAGCAGTTCCTGAAAGCAAAGGCAGACCAGTGCAAAGCCCAGCAGCCCTCTGATTCAGCAGATACCACGCCAAGGGTGATGGATCTCCCTCTTCTAGGGTTGTCAAAGGGTATGGCAAGTCTTGCCCAAATTTCCAGTAGGAGACGGCTGTTCAGAAACTGGGTGGAGAGGGGGGAAGATGTCAGAGGATGAGGGGAGCAACATGGTTTGTGAGCAGCAGATACATTATTAGCTCCCTTTTTGTGATCTGGGGTGAGACATGGAGTTTTAAGACAGGAAAGCAGAGGCAGCAGCATTGCAAACCAGGATAAGACAATAGGGAAAGCAGAGAGTAAAGCTAAAATGAATGGCAGTTTTATAAACCTTCATCAAATTAGTTTTGAGTACTAAAAATACCTAGACAGAGGTGGAATAACAAAGGGACAATATCCACTGTGCTTATGAACAAGATAATGTGCCTTCCCTGAGCAATTCCTTGCGTCAGCATAAAAGAGTAGTACAGCAGGGATGTTTGTTTCATGAAACATATAGTATAAAAAAAGGTTTTGTATATAGGATGAAGAGGACTGTTCATAAGAAAACTGCAGAATACAGAGCCAAAGAAGGACTTTCCCTATCTCCTGTGAATTACCATATTCAAAGTACAACACACAGGCTTGAAAGTACAGCATGCATTGAGTAATTTGCTCAGGAAATTCCACGCAGGACTTGAGCTGTGCAGTTTTGTCTGAAGTGTAAATATCACAGGATGGGTAACAGGATTTTTTTTTTTTTTTTTAAGGGGCAAGAAAGAGCAATGCTCAAGATGGATTGCTATGTCAAAGCTGGGACTGTGCTCTTCCACTGGCAAACTGCTGCCCTGCAGCTCCAGCACCAGAAGAGAAAACAATCCTGGCTGCAAACCAGCTTCTGAAGAACACAACTACAAACAAGGGGTTCCTCTCCTCCTCTCCATAAGGTAGTGTTGGCAAATATGCTATTTCAAGAGCTTAGGTTGTTGTCACTTAAAGTTGACAACAGTTACAATTAAGATCACAGAAGAAAGGACAAGCAACAATTAACAGATTCTTCATCAAGTTGTTCTTTGCCCTCTCATTCTTCTCAGCTCTACTCACATCTTTGCTGCTTTGGTTTCCATTGCTTCCTCAACCATGAAATACATTTTCAGCTGCTACAATGTATACACAGTTCCCACAGGCAGCTAAAGGGATAGAGTACAAATTATGTAGGAGCTCTCAACAAGCAGCAGGGACTCTAGCATTTAATTCCTTTACTATTTCAGAGTGGTCATTTGCACCTTTTTACAAAAACTTTGAAATCAAAGGTCAAATCTTCCTTTATAAAAGATTTTATACTTGAAGACTCAAAGGCGTTCATATCCTGAATGCTAATCCCTTCTCCTTGTGTAAATCAACAGCTCTAAAATACTTATTCCTAAGCTAAACACTTGAAACATCCTTCTTTTGAAAAAGGGGTTCAGGAAAAAACAACAACCCACGAGAACATTAGAAAAACCCCATTGCCATTTGCTTTCCAGAAACAACAGTGCCTATTTCAACTGTCTTAAGCAGGACTGCAAAAAGGTTCCAGCAAAACTCTTCTACCTGATAAAGTTTTTGGTAGTTCTGTTTCTTTGCTCTCCCAAAGCACTGTGACACCTGCTTTCTGTAGCCACGCAACTGACATGATCTTTCCCTCCTCCCATGAGGAAGGAAGTAAAAGCTTTTCCTGAAGTGGACACAATCCACAAGCCTGACATTTTTGAAAAGTAGTTTTGGGTATGTTGAAGTGCATCATCCATTTAAGCAAACTGCAACTTCATGACCTATAATTCTACTTAAATACACAGTGCAAAAATACAAGATGGGCCTCATTTTCCATTTATTTCAGGAAAATTAATTACAAGCAGCAAGTTATGTAACCTTTAGAGGTTGAGAATTATATTTTTGCACTGCATCATACAGCATTCCTAGATTTAGACACTCCATTACGAATACCACAGCTAATCCTGAATGCATTTGAACTACATTTAAATGCAGCCATTTAAATCAGTTTGTATATCTAAATGCAAGAAGAACCAACCCCACTATACTACTGTCACAGAAATGCTGCTCCATACTAAAAATTTTAAGATGTAGTCAAAAACTGTTTTGTTTGATCATTCACAAAAATGAGATTATTTATAAAAAATCCTTTAACCGTATCAGTTGACATACATTAATTTCATTATAAAATAAATACAAACCAGTTTACATACAAAACCAGGAACATACAAGTTTAACACTGAGCTGATAAGGTTTGCCAACATGTTTTCGAGCAGCACTGATACAGAATCCTGTTTCACAGGGAAAAGGTACAGTGAGAACCTTACAGGTATCTAATCAAGTTTGTACAGAAGAATCTGAAAGTCCAGATATTCTTAGGTAGACAGAGCTGTGCTTATTCATAAACTTCTTCAGTGTCCGAAACTTTTTCTTCTGATCTTTACAGCCTTGGTGTGATACATATTTGAAGTACTTGCAATCTAACACGAAAAAAAAAAAAAAGTTAAGTTATACTATGATACAGATCAATGAAAAATGTTCATTAAAAAAAATGGTAACTTACATACAAGCATTTCAACAAAAGTTTTACAGTAATAAAATATTATAATCCAAGATAGGCACATTAGAGGCACAGCTGCAGCTTTAAATAATTAGTCCTCACTTGATCCACAAAACATATGCTACAGCATATGTCACGATAAAAGCAACAACAACAACAACAACAACTTTCTAATATATCTGAAGAGTAAGATTTCCAAAGCCTTTCCTATAAGTCTTTATTTTACACCAATAAGCACAGATAGGTTCATTTAAGAAAGTTGCAGCTGGAATCACATTACTAGTCACTTAGAGATAAAAGCCATGGAGACATTTGATAAAATTTAACTGAAAACAAGAAAGCTCAACATAAGAAATTATTTTATGAAGTCCAGAAAGTATCAGTTATAGCAAAACTGACAAAGAACAAAGTGACCATCCAGAAGCCTAAACCTGTGTACAAGCCATGCCCATTTTCTCACTCTCAGTGGCCACTCAACAGCTCAGTGGCCACTTTTTGGTTTGAGCTTCCACTTGGTTTTGTCAGTGTTTTCAAAGAATGCTACCAAGGAGGCCATGATCATCACTGACCTTCCTACCAAACTGCTGACAGTTTACATTCAAGGCATCCTTCCTCCTCCTCCTCTTTCTTTTACAATAGTAAAACATACTCATGATCCTCAAGCACTGGCTACTCCCCAGTATTTGTTGGGACACCACCTAGATGGGCACCCAGCAACCCGCACATGCCTCTGTACACTTACTCAAAGATATGTTGGATATTTCTGAAACTGCGGTTTTTCAAGGTTATAAACAAGAGCAAGATAATTAGTGCTATGACTGCTCAACAAGGCCAAATAAAATAGAAGTTTAAACCAGGATAAAATAAATTATACAAAATATGTCTTCCTGAAAAAAACATCAAGACATTCTGGATACTTTTCTCATGTTTAGCTTCAGAGAAGCCAATCTTCCCTACAAGCAGGAAACAGTCTTTCTTCCAGATAGTAGATCAGATGCATCCCATTTCATTAGGGTGAGAACTAGATGATATTTCTAGAGTGAAAAGGAAACATTTAATATTACCCTTTCCCAGTAAGATTCCAGCCACCAGAGCTTTTTCATATGCAAGGCTTTCATTTTCCTGCCAATTCCGCTTTGCCAAGTAACGGCTAAAATGGAAGGCTGGCCACCAGTCCTTTCTGGAGTTCCACTCCTGCTTGAGCCACTCAAGATGCTTCTCAGAGCTTTAAAAAAAAAAGAGGGAGAGTGATTTTTATAATCGGATCACTACAAGTCTCAGCAACTGCTAGCATAGATGCACTGACCGTGCACTGCACTCAAACACTGACCTAAGCAGAAAAAATGTGCCTTTTTCCTTCTTCCTGGCAATGAGGTAGAGGTGAATTTGAGCAGTCTCTAGACTCTACAGTGACACACATTATGGTGAAACAGAGTAGCTTTTGATTTGTGTGCCAGTTAGTCAATAGCAACAAGAAAGTGTGTTCACATTTGTCAACAAATTAGTGTTTTAATTTTTAAGAGTATGTAGATTGGAAGACTAACTTATCCAGAGACTTAACTTATCCCAGTAACTGTTAAACAATAAAGACTTTAAACTGAGCATTGCAGAAATGGAATGCTAACTACAATATGAAAGTGATATTCCATAAATGAGCCAGATACTTGATATATTTTAAGATACTCTGAAGATATATTTTAAGATACTGTCTTCAGACATAAAACTGCAAGTAAAGAGTATCACACATTTTTTACAACCTATATAAATCAACACTCTTGGCGTTAAATTATCAAGTTCTGGGCCTTAGCCTTGTAGAGAAGGAGACAGAAAAAGGGCACAATGGGTCAAACTAAGTACTGAATTTAACGCAAGTATATACCTTTTTTTTTTCTTCCTCCAAATGAAACGGTTGCATGTTGTGTAAAATAAACTCTAGACATTAAAGGTCTTGTGGGCATGAACTGCCAGGAGTTGGCTGCCACTGGAATCCACAATTGCCAGTGTTGGCCTGAACCTGTTGGCTCAGCCTTTGATACTAAACTGGCTGCATTCTTCAGCAGGTACCACTGTCACTCAAGGAAGAACACAACACACCAGTCTACACGGTGCCAGCTGTGCCTGTGTGTTCACCCAGGGATTCTCATGCACAGGAGACATTCAGAAGAGCCAACAGCTCTTCCTCCCACACCCAGAAGAAGGAAAATGGTGATACCCAAACATCTAAACAACTCCTTCTGCAGAAGCACAGAGTCTGGTTAGAAAACAAACCCCCCAAAACAAAAACACATACACACAGCCTTTCACAGAGTGGTTGAGGGTGGAAGGGACCTCTGGAGATCGAGTCCAACCCCGCTGCTCAAGCAGGGACACCTAAAAGCACCTAAAAAGCCCAGGACTGTGTCCAGACAGATTCTGAACACCACCAAGGAAGGAGACTCCACAATCTCTCTGGGCAACCTGTTCCAGTGCTCTGTCACCCTCAGAGTAAAGAAGTTTTGCCTTGTGTTCAGAAGGAACTTCCTCTGACCACTTTGTGCCCATTGCCTCTTGTCCTGTCACTGGGCACCACTGAAAAAAGTTTGGCCCCATCCTCTATGCAAAGTCCCTTCAAATGTTGATAATTTAAATCCAGAAGTCTTTAGTAATATTTCTTCTTTCCTACCCATAAAAGGGCACTGCAGCCAAGCACTGCCACAGAACTGAGCAGCCCAGCTGACTCTTCTATTCAGCAGCATGGAAGGCAAACGGGTAACAGATCACTTGGTCAAGTGCGTGAAGGTGAAGACCAGACACGCTCGAATTTGGTTTTAGTACTTTTCACGAGATGCCATACTTACATTGTAATTTGCTTAACTTGTCCTGCCAAGCAACTCCATGCTTTGACATTTTCCTTCCACCCAGCATAATCCAACGCTGCAAAAATAACCTCTAGCCCCAGTCGACGTTTTTTTCTTTTCTCTGAAATTAAATTAGGCTGAATTCATTAGTGAGCATTCACAAGCCAAATCTTTCACAATCAAATTCTTTCACCAATCTGCCAACTTGCGGCAACATATAAGGTTTTAAGATAGTCAACTTGCAGTATAGCGTAACAGCATGGAAAAAGTCTCCAATTTGGAAGACAATTCTTGAAGGTAAAATTCCCCTAAAGAGAACAAAGATTGTTCTCTGATCAATAACATTGAACTAAGTTATAAATCCACAACAGCAAGTCTGGCATTCAGATTATGGTACCCCCAATTTTTTTGATATCTTAGGTACAACGTTTGCCTTAGATTAGTCTGTTAGTTTAGAAATGCATTTGTTCAGATTTTAAGTGCTTACTGCAGCAGTCTTTATGATCTGAGAGTCAGGAATTTTTTTTTGAACCAGATGTACTTTAAAGAGGAGACAGAAGGCTATAAAATAATTTCAGAATATTGTTTGATATCAAATTAACATTAAGGAAAAACAAGTGAAGATATTTAAAGGCTTACTTGACTTTTGAAGCATGGCATGAAAATCTATCATTAGTTCATGACAAGGAACAATATCATGCAAAATCTGGAAAAAAAAAAGAACAGAAACACTGTCTTGATACAAAAAGATTTGAAATTTATCTTTGTCAGGTATAATCACTGAATGGTTAAGGTTGGAAGGGACCTCTAGAGATCATGTAGAAGCAAAAGCTTCAGATTTTTTAATTAGAAAAATTAAGCTATCAGGTACCTTAGCGTCTTTATATACATACATATATACACACACACACACACACACATATATTAAAAAGGCAGGGGGGAGCATTTTGCAACTCTGACACTATCCTGTGACCTGATAGATGAAATACTAGGAGTATTGGAGTCAAGAAAGCTTGCACATAACATACGTAACATTCTCCAAAGCAGCCCAAATCTATATCCAGTATCACTTTCAGAGGTTGGCGTCCTCTCCTTTCTAAGTCACTTCAAGTTCCTGCTTACTGCTACTCTGTGCACTGAATAATGGGTTTCTGGATCTCTCTGACCACTTCTTTGATTTGTCATTATCTTGTAAAACCACTGCTGAACTCTGGGAAACCAGAGCTTGATTTCCACAAGTACAGATTCAAACTCTCAACTTTATGAAGCTGTGTTAAAGCTTCCGCCCTAGTGAAAATATTGACAGTATTTTAGTGCCATCAAGTGGCAAAAGTGAAAAAGTTGGCAAGAAGTTACCAGGATCAGTGAGCAAGTACAAGGACAGTGGGAATTCAAAAGCAACTATATA